TTAATAAATAAAAAGAGTTTTACTTTTGGTGCACAGTGTATTTAAATGTGTAAAACAAATTTCCCTTCTATTAAACTCTGAACTGAATTTTAAAAGAAAAGTACTTTCAGAAAGTCTCAATGTTCCTACTTGTCTTTATTTACTCATAAAGTCGGTATAAACAAATAAATTTGATGGCTATATCTATCATTAAACCCGACGGGTAAATGTTTTGAAGAGTCCAGACGATAGCAAGAAAACAACAGACATTTGTTGTCGTTTCTAACGAATGATACGACGGTTGTGAAACAATGACGTCATTCAATATTACTAATAATACTGAGCACTTTTTAAAAAGTAAATGCTACGAACAGTGGAATTTTACTCCATTTGTTTTTTTCCGCATATATATATATATATATATATATATATATATATATATATATATATACAGGTAAGATGAGAACGTATAGGGTACAATTCAAACGTTCGTAATATTTTATTTAAAAGGGGGCTCAATACAAAGTAGAGCAATATTCTTTATTTTAGGATATGACATTGAAAACATGTCAAAAAACGCTACTGAATTGCAGTTGTGTTTCAATGCAAATCAATGCATCCCATCAGAAGAAAACTTAAGGAGCCAGGCAAACCTACCTAGGTTTCCTAAGGACACATGGAACGGTGGATAAAGGCGTTGGTTAGATCCAGTGACAGACCCAAAGAATGTGAATTTAATTCCTGGTTAAGGCAGTGGAGAACTTTCAGAGGGAAAATTAGCAGGAGATAACTGATAACTGACATCCATCAAACATGGCACGTAGAACTAGAACAGTCTACCCGAGTGATCGAAATAAAGGGTTCAGTTCGAAATTCCAACCACCTGAAGAAGGCCGGAGCGTACAACGGCCGAAACGTTGTGACAAATATGGCGACAAAGATAAGGACAATAGTCCGACTAATGTAAATACTGTACATAATACCTCATCTCAGAAATATAGACAGACTATAAATTTGTATATATCAAGAAAACTTTTCCCCCTTTTCATAGATTTTCCTTAATATATATATATATATATATATATATATATATATATATATATATATATATATTCATGGTACATATCAAATGAAATAATCATTTATATACTGTCACTATTACCTTAGTCACACAAGAGTGGTTTTTGGATATTCCTTTTTGTTTTTATTTACTCATGAAGTCAGTATAAACAATTTGATGGCTACATTTATAATTAAACTCGACTGGTAAATGTTTTGAAGAGTCCAGACTATAGCAAGAAAACAAAAGATATTTGCTGTCGTTTCTAGCAAATGATACGACGGCTCTGAAACGATGACGCTATCAGACGTCGTTCAATCTTACTAATTAAATGTCAAAAGAATGCAATAATTAGGGAAGCAGCTGCTTGACAGTGTTAAAAATGACTTTAATTAATCTAAAAAGGATTTTTTTTCTGAAGGTAACATCGAGTTACTTATGCAAATCGCTAATGACTGGAGGGGATGCTTCAAGTAACCATGAATGTCCACATTTTAAGAGAATCAATTTCGTGATTTTGTTTGACAACACTTGATATCAAAACCACGATTCTTGCCGAAGGTGCTGTCTGTGCAATTTTGCCCAACCCAAATCAACCGACATAAACAGAGCGTTTTGTTAGGAAAAAGTATTTTCATTTGTTTGAGCAGTTCATTTATCAGTAGCCAGAATCGATAAGTAGTTATTATTTATTTTTGTATATATTCCTTGCATGTTACTCCTCCTCCTCCTCCTACGAATACTACTACTACTACTGGTATAAATGATAAAGATTCTAATATCGACAGTAAAAAAAAAACATTCATTTATTTCTGTTTTTTTTTTGTTCATCTTGCTGTTCCTCGCTTTGGGTGGAACACGCATGTACGCCCGCCCCCACTCCGCCCACACAACACGCTTTACATGAATAATGAATGAAAAAATATGATCGATATAGTCATAAAAAGGACGAAAATAATATGAATGTTCAATGAATGTCATTTCGACATGCACACAAACACTTGCGAATATATATATATATATATATATATGTATGTGTGTGTGTGGAGAGAGAGAGAGAGAGAGTAAGAGAGGGTGAGAGACCGTGTCAACTACTGACATCCCCTGACGAGTGGACGGAGTGATTGCTGGAGGATTCATCTACGAAACTCTAGAGTCGGTAGTTGAAGGTAACACCAATCAGCTAAGTGACAAACTTTATATTTATATTAATGATATATATATATATATATATATATATATATATATATACCGTAATTCCCTATGTACAATACGCCTTCATCCATAATACGCACGCCTAAAATTGTGCTGAAAGTGTGGGAAAATGCTTCGACTCATGTATAATACGCACCTCTTGTTAGGTACATATGAATGTATTTGCCATCCTTATGGGGTCGCAATCGCCGAATGTCAGTGTCAAATTATCGTATGCTTGTGGCGAGTAGTCATTTCAACCTATGGAATGGAATATTTTAAAGATTTTTTTGTAGCTGTGCATAATACGCACCCCTAATTTTATCAGTTTAAACGTTACTTTATTAGATATCTATATTTAAAAGGGCGTATACTCAAATAGGCATATCCACTAAAAATAACATATACAATGATATATATATATATATATATATATATATATATATATATATATATATATATATATATATGATATAATCATTTCATGTTCGCGAATATTCGTCTAGGAAACTCTAGAGTCGGTATATTGAAGGTAACACCAATCAGCTAAGTGACAAACTTTATATTTTATTAAGTTGGGTTTAGATCCCGGTTTGAAGCAATCGGATGTCTAGCCACACTGATGAAATGGGAAATATTAAAAAAATATTACAAGTACAAGGATGGTGATAAGGTTTGTTCCCTATGCACAGAGGAAAAGTTAGCTATTGCTTGCTACAAAGAACCCAATAATTTATTAAATCTAAAATTGGAAATTGATAGTAGGTGTAGACATAGAAAAGGCTGGTTATTGGAGTAGTTTCTTTTTGTTTTTTTTGTTGAATAAAGAACGTAACCCCTACCCCCAGCAAGTTGTCTGAGTTTTTATTGTTTTTTTTTTTGGTTTTGTTTTTGTTTTTTGTTTTTTTTTGTCACGTGGTCATGGTTGTTTTTTATTTAAGCTATATATTCTGTTCCATAATTTTCTTTTTCGGCCATCTAAATCCTGACGATCCGTTTAGGTGAAACCTAGGTAGGTTTGCCTGGCTCCTTAAGATTATCTTGGGTTTTGCCCTACTTCGTGTATTGAGCACTTTACGTAGTTGCCTTTTTACTCGTTTTGGAGGGGTTTTTTTCTTTGGACTTTGAGCTTCAACTTTGGGACGATTGTTTTCGCCTTGGTTTAATGTTCTTGGTTCTTTCTTTTTTTTTATTCCTCATTTTTCCTTGGGTACCCGTTTGTTCTCCTACAAGTCGAAATACCCAAGGTTTTTCCAAGCGAGTACCACCACACACACACACACACACATATATATATATATTCAAATAATAGGAAAGAAGAGTCAGATTTATAATCCAAGGTTCTTTAGCAATTATTTTTATTTTTAAAAAACAGTGCTTGATACAAAGTAGAGCATAATATTAGAATCATTTTTTTAAAAATGTCTCCATCGCGGCACAGAAAATACTTATGTTTCAAAACAGAAAATTTGACACACAGAGATACTCTTGTTTTCTACATTCATAGAAAACAAACTCCCCCTTATTAAAAAATGGTAATTCTCTTAACACAACCAACTTAAAAATAAAGTAAATACAATTTTTTGTAAGTTATTATCTGCATCGCTTGACAATGGAACGGAGCTCTAAATTTTAAGTTTAAACTTTAAAATTAAATTTTAAGATTTAAGCTTCAGCTTCGAAACAGTAATTACTGTGTCACGATGGAGGCATATTTTTTAAAAATAATTATATATATATATATATATATATATATATATATATATATATATATATATATATATATAAGCAAAAATAAATGGATATAAATCCGACAGAATGTAAAATTTTGAAAAACAAACAAAAACCATAAATGTAAAAAATGAAAAGATTGTCGACGTCAGACGTTTCGGTTTTTAATAAACCATTTTCAAGATATTGAATTCATTAAAATGTAAATTCAATTTTGTCTTGAAAACGGTTTATTAAAAATAAACGTCTAACGTAAGAATTGTTTTTTGTCCATTTTAACTACATTTATGGATTTTTGTTTGTTTTTCAAAATTTCTACATTCTGTCGGATTTATATCCATTTACACTTGCTTATATACTGTCTACTGAAAACACAAACCTAAATTCGTTTTTTTACAACATGGAAGATTGCAGGCTTATCCGGAAATACAGGAATTTTAAAATAATCACGAACTTTTAGGAATACGTTATGAAAGCGTCGCCCATGTGACTACGGCGTGACCACGTTAAACGGAAGGCTGATCTTTTTAAAAATTGTCAGTTATCTGTTTTACTCTTGGATAAGACTTGTGTTTTTATGTCCATCGTTTTCGTCATATTGAACTGAATTTGTATTTTAATGAATTTTGTCTTGAAAATGGTTTATTAAAACCGAAACGTCTGACGACGACAATTCTTTCATTTTAACTACATTTATGGATTTTTGTTTGTTTTTCAAAATTTCTACATATATATATATATATATGATGGGTGTAGAGATGCTAAAGAGAATCTACTGGCCAATACAGAACCCGGATGAAGTCCAAATACGAATATTGGCGTTCACCATATTTAAAAGTGTAATAAGCTATGAGCGCCATTCTCATAATAGTAAAAGCATAAACTGACCCAATAATATCTCCTTAAAAAAGGGTGAAACTCGAGTAGTATAGATTTTGTTCTTTTACAATTTATATCTTACATTTTATGAGCTATACATTGTATAGCGCACTTTTAACTTCATACGTTGTAAAAGTTGCTTTTTACCAATCACAAGAGTGTACATCTATCTATCTATCTATCTATCTATCTATCTATCTATCTATCTACCTATCTCAGTCTGTTCCTATTTATCTCAGTCTGTTGCTATCTATCTATCTATCTATCTATCTATCTATCTATCTATCTATCTATCTATCTATCTATCCTAGTCTGTTTCTATCTATCTATCTGTCTATCTATCTACCTATCTCAGTCTGTTCCTATTTATCTCAGTCTGTTGCTATCTATCTATCTATCTATCTATCTATCTATCTATCTATCTATCTATCTATCCTAGTCTGTTCCTATCTATCTATCTATCTATCTATCTATCTATCTATCTATCTATCTATCTCAGTCTGTTCCTATTTATCTCAGTCTGTTGCTATCTATCTATCTATCTATCTATCTATCTATCTATCTATCCCAGTTTGTTCCTATCTATCTATCTATCTATCTATCTATCTATCTATCTATCTATCTATCTATCCTAGTCTGTTCCTATCTATCTATCTATCTATCTATCTATCTATCTATCTATCTATCTATCTATCTCAGTCTGTTCCTATTTATCTCAGTCTGTTGCTATCTATCTATCTATCTATCTATCTATCTATCTATCTATCTATCTATCTATCTATCCCATTTGTCCCATTTGTTCCTATCTATCTATCTATCTATCTATCTATCTATCTATCTATCTATCTATCTATCTAAGTCTGTTCCTATCTAAGTCTGTTCCTATCTATCTATCTATCTATCTATCTATAATTATGCATATAGACAAACTGTTGCAAATAGACAGGAGGAGGTGATTCAGCGAAAAGAAGCACGAGAGACAAATACGGAAAAGTTTATTTTAATGTATATTTACCCTTCGAGTGTTAGTGGTTGCCATGGTTTCGCTTGGCATAATAAGCCAAACAGCGTTCGCTATCGATACGTGAACCAATGGAAAAGTGTCATGCGAACACACACTCACAAACACACACACGCACCCCCAACACACGCACACAAACACACGGAAACAGCAGACCAACATACAATGGCCAGACAGACTTAGTTCGATTATTATTGACGTTGGCCTTTTCTCCAGCACCTTTCGCCTGCTTTTCAATTTAAGGCGTCCTCCTTCCCAACTAACATTGACGCATATTGTCTTGACTCAGCATATAGACATATGATTGGTTGACATCAGTTTAGCTCATATCATTCAGTTATATATGTTCGACCAATCAATTGACATAGAATGCAATTAATTTCATATTAATTTCATTATAGAAACAAATTATTACACACACACGAGCACACACACACACACACACACACACACACACACACACACACACACACACACACACACACACACACACACACACATATATATATATATATATATAATTTCTATATATATTATATATGCAAGGTACTTATTGGAAATCGTTCAATATCAGTGATAGAGCTAATATATTCAGAGTCTGTAACTTAAATATTTGGGTCTATATAAATAACGTTTAACAAAAAATATATTAAAATAGTTGTCGGACTTTATCCATTTCATGATATAATATGGTATTTATTGACGTTAAGATACGCTTCGAGCAGATACGGACGTTCGAGGGAAATCGTGGAAAATTGTAGTTTAAAAGCAGTAAAATCGACCTTGCTAACCAGACGATCCTCTGTATCTAAACTGTTACAGCATGTCAGGCTATATAACGCTTCTGTGTAGGATACAGGTTCGATTCCTGTCGGAGGACGCAAAGAAAATTTCTCGGACGTTTAGGCCGGTAAATATTGTTAATACTGTTTATTATAAACAGAACATTTACTTAAATATTTGTGTCTATATAAACAACGTATAACAATAAAATAATTTAAAATAAGTGTCGGACTTTGTCTATTTCGTAGTGTATGACGTCATTTATAATATATAAGTAATATATATAAAATTGCACACACACATATATATATATATATATATATATATATATATATATATATATATATCCGATGTGATGAGAACGAAAGTAATATATAAATTCCAACGTTCACAGCATTAATCCAAAAGAGAGCTCGATAGTAGAGCGATGATTATTTATTTATAACAATTTTATCATATAGACAAAAACCTTTTACTCACTACAAAGATGCAACTTCGTTTCAGTGCATCGCATCAAAGGTGAGAAATGATATTTAATTAGGAATTTTATAATGGCAAAAAGACAAAAAAGCATTAAATTTTGCTCTCGTCAAAATCTTCTCCTTTAGCCTTGATTACTGCAGCACAATTTTTTGGCATTTGTTGCAAAAGATTCTCAAATACCCTAAGAGTTCTTTTCATTTTTTTTTTTACTCCTCTGTTAAGTCCATGCCATGCTAATTTTCGGAGTGGCTTCAAACTTTTGAACTGTAGTATATATATATATATATATATATATATATATATATATATATATATATATATATATATATGTGTGTGTGTGTGTGTGTGTGTGTGTCTGTGTGTGTGTGTGTGTGTGTTATTTCAGGTGTTACGTAAGTCAATGTAGTCAATATTTTCACAATAAAATAGGAATATTTATTATTTATTGATTTTCCATTTCATTATCTATCTATACATCTATCTTAGTCTGTTCATTCCTATCTATCTATCTCAGTCTATTTCTTTCTTTCTTTCTATCTATCTATCACAGTCTATTTCTTTCTTTCTTTCTTTCTTTCTTTCTTCTATCTATCTATCTATCTATCTATCTATCTATCTATCTATCGTAGTCTGTTCATTTCTTTCTATCTATCTATCTATCTATCTATCTATCTATCTATCTATCTATCTATCTATCTATCTATCTCAGTCTGTTTTTTCTTTTTTTCTATCTATCTATCTATCTATCTATCTATCTATCTATCTATCTATCTATCTATCTTCGCGTGTGTGTGCTTGTGCTCGCACGCGCGTTTGCTGAAGTAAAATTGACAAAGTAGAAGTATTTTCCTTCTCCCCGTGTGGTCAACTTTTACTATAGTCAATGCAATTAGTTCATTTTATATTTCTTTATGAAATAAATGCTCATATACATATATCCTCTCACATAGCTGGCTTTTTTTTTGGCATGCATTAAATATTCAGTTTTTTTTTTATATTATCGATCAAGTGTAAAAAAGTTCATTTTTATGTCGACTTAATCCGTCTCCTCCTACTTAATTTCTGTTGATTTTCATTTTTCGCCTCACTTTTGGGTAACTCCCGGCGATTCGCTATTTATTCAAAATATGGACGAACGGTTGTGTTGTTGCTTGAATGACTGAAGGCATTATAATCACCTTTTCCCATAAATCCAAATTATCAAACTATTTCAAGTAAATGGTATTTTCACTTATTGACACCCTGCGAGAAGTGCATGAAAAGTCTCACGTTGTCACGTCATCTGCAGTTGAAACAGATTTTTATTTCGTTTTAAGAATCAAACAACGTATTTAAATAAACATCCGGAGGAAGGAAAAATATCAAAATAACAGAATTATTAAAAGCGTTCTCTCCATCTTTATCTTTTCCTTCTTCCTTTGATAAACTTGAAGTTTTTATAGCGATTAGATATTCTTTCGTTTCTTTTTTCCGTCATTTTTTTTTATCACTATTTCGTTAATAAGCAGAAATTGTTCATTTTTTAAAATTTTTTCAATAGAACGCGCTCCGGGGTTGGCGGTCTCTTTATTTTGATGGCGAACACCACAGCATAGAAACTAATTTTTAAAGCTCTCCTGTTATTGCCGTTCACATTTCAAATAACAAACAATTCATTGGATACAGAAACTTGTCTGGCCTAATACGTTGATAGCCATAAACAAGATGGCGTCGCTAATTCTTGTGTTTCTTCAAACAAGTCTTGTTGACATCAAAGCCAAATAATTGGTTCTTATTCTTAACTTACATTTTTCTCTTTTCTGTAGCATTTCTTTGAATGAAAAATAATTTGTTAATGGGATGAACGTTAAGTTTGTTTAGCAACTTCTGAGTTTCAATCGCTTCATTAAAATTATTTTTGTTAGAGCTATTCGACAACCCTTAGCTAAAAACAATTTTCTTCTTCGAAAAGGTTTCATCTCCTTTCAATCCCTTTCTTTACAGACAAAAAAAAAAAAAAACTTCTCGAAATGTTTCCGCCCTTCGCTAATCAAGGCAACAAATAAATTTGGTTTTATTACCCCGAATTTATGTTTGATCCGATAAACTGACATAAAATATTTGAATAGAAATCCTCATTTTAATGCGCAAATGCATCTCGACAAGATGCTTTTAATCCTTACATTCGTTTGTATTTCTACTCATCAGGTCGTTTAACAGACATTAATGAACTCCTGTTGGGAGTCCTGTGGTGATGTAATAATCAGCTAGATCGACTTGCAAATTATTTGTATGGATTTCGATTCTCATTAGATAGAGCTTGTAGCCTGTGTCAAAACGACGCCATTCTTAGTAAATAACAACTCAGTTTTGTCCGTTATGTGTTCGTCTTAACAATTTAACATGCATCTAACTACCTACCTTGTCGTTCGCTTCTGAATTTCTATAGGCTTTCCAATTTTGTATTAATTTGCTTAGAAGATATACACTAACGTCTTGCGCATATTAATTACTGACTTCAAAAGAAACATGACTCATTTTTATCCTTTGAGGGGAAACACAATTAGTTTCGTCTTTCCTACTTTGTAACAAGAGATAAGAAGTATTTGAAAACTTTCGCAGATAAAGTTTATTGCATATCCGTAATTCAGTCTAAAGCGATTCTCATGTGCTTTATTGTTCAGTATCTGTCTATATTTCTGAGGTATTATGTACACTATTTAGATTATTCGGACTATTGTCCTCATCTTTGTCGCCATATTTATTACAATGTTTCAGCCGTTGTACACACCAGCCTTATTCAGGTGGTTGGAATGTCGAACTGGAGTAGACTGTTCTAGTTCCACGTGCCATGTTTAATGGATGTCAGTAATCAGTCTGTTAATTCCCCTCTCCAAGTTCTCCACCACCTTAACCAGGTATTGAACTCACACTCTTTGGGTCCTGTCACTGGATCAAACCAACGTATCCACTGTGCTATGTGCCCTTGAGGACATCTGTGCATGAATTTCTGGGTATTATAAACCTAATGTCTTCAGCAATCATTTGTTACCAGTGCTCATATTGTAATTTTTGCTGTTATCATTATATGTTTTTACCAGAGCTCATATTGCAATTTTTGTTGTTATCGCTTTTCTCTGGCACTCCTTATTACTGGTTCCCATATTGTATTCATTTCTATGCTTGGTCGGCCCAGGAGATTTTTGTGGCCTAGTATATGTGCTGATTCCTTAAGTTTAAGAGTTTCGACATTCCAACGACCTGAAGAAGGCCGGAGCGTACAACTGCCGAACCGTTGTAATAAATATGGTTTGTTGTTATTCGATGAATTATTTCGATTCGTATATATCACATTTGTTGTTTCGATCACAATGTTTCGGTCGCATGTTCTCAGGCCTTCCCTATTTGTTTAATGCATTCGATAAACTTCAAGAGATTTTTCGATCTGAATTCCTGCGTCCTGGGTAAGAATGATAAACTACATCCGCATCTTGGGTAACAAGATAAACTGCATCCGAATCCAGGGTAAGACGATAAATTACATCCACGTCCTGGGTAAGACGATAAACTACATCCGCGTCCTGGGTAAGAC